CTATTTCGGCTGCTTTGATCTTTTGATACATCCCAACATCTGGTTTGCTTTACTCACTGCCAAAGCGTATTGTTAGGAGAGCTTCAATTTATTGTCAATCAGGACCCCCAGGTCCTTTTCATTTTCCATTCATATTATTTTCCTTCCGTTCAAATAATAGTCCCTTTCAGGATTTTCTGTACTCATGCGAAGTACATTTCTCCACATTGAATGTCATCTGCCACCGACCTGCCCAATTCCCAAGTATGTCCAACTCCTCCTGAAACCTATCTTGTTCAGCTTTGCTATCTACTACCTTCATCTGCTTGGTGCATTCTGTGCCTGTGATTCCCAGTTCCAGATCATTTATAAAAATATTAAACAAACAAGGTCCCACAACAGGGATTATAGTATAAGAATCATTAGTATTGTTCATGTCGTGAAAAGATGAATTAAGTAGAATGAATTAAAGAAATAAAAACTGCCACTATGCCCCGAGGCTCTGGAACTGCCTTCCTCACTCCCTCCGTCTCGCTCCCTCCCTTCCTATTTTCAGGTCTCTGTGGAAGACCTTTCTTTTTGATCGCGCCTTTGGTCACCTTCCCCCCCTTCACCCCCTTCCCCTGGCTCCTCCCCCTCCCCCTGGCTCTGCCCCGGGATCTGTTATAATAATAATAATAATAATCCTTGCCTTTGATCTATATATATAGAGAGAGATCAAATATATATAGATATATATATATACAGATCAGCCATGATCTAATTAAATGGCAGAACAGGCTTGAAGGGCTGAATAACCTACTCCTGTTCCTATGTTCCTATGGACAGGTTGGGCAGGGGATGTACAATATGCCTGAGTTCGCCAAACAGAGGGGATAAGCAGAGAAGTGGTCTCCAAACCAAACTGAGAATTCTGTGCGTTCAACCTACCGATTCCATGGGAATTCCTTTAGAATGGAATGTGGACCATCATCAACCTGTCCCTCTCCTCTGGCTCTGTCCCCATTCCATTAAAAACTGCCATCATCACGCCCACCCTGAAAAAACCCTCCCTTGATGCGTCGCAGCTATCAAGCTACCGGCCCATCTCCAACCTCCCCTTTCTCTCCAAGGTCTTGGAAAGAGTTGTCGCCTCCCAACTGCGCTCTTTCCTTTCCACCCATTCTCTTTTCGAACCCCTTCAGTCAGGTTTCCGTGCTGCCCATAGCACAGAAACTGCCCTGGTCAAGGTCACCAATGATATCCTGACCATCTGTGACCAGGGCTCCCTCTGTCTCCTCGTCCTCCTCGACCTATCGGCAGCATTCGATACGGTCGACCACGCTATCCTACTCCACCGCTTGTCCTCCCACCTCAACCTTCAAGGCACTGTCCTTGAATGGTTTAGGTCGTACCTTTCTCACCGTCTTCATTTCGTCTCGACGAATGGCTTCTCCTCCACCCCCCGTACTGTCTCATGTGGTGTCCCTCAGGGCTCTGTCCTCGGTCCCCTCCTCTTCACCCTCTACATGCTCCCCCTTGGTGACATCATCCGCAGACATGGAGTTAACTTCCACATGTATGCGGATGACACCCAACTCTACCTTTCCTCCTCTACTCTCAACTCCACGACCACCGATGTCCTGACAGCTGCCTGTCCGACATCGAGTCCTGGACGAGAGACAACTTTCTTCAGCTCAACGTGCGAAAAACCGAGGCCCTCCTGATTGGCTCACGTCAGCGCCTCCGCACCTCAGGCGCTGACACCATCAGCATCCAAGGCTGCACTCTCCACCTCTCAAAGCCAGTCAGGAACCTCGGCGTTTTGTTCGACCCTGAGCTGTCCTTTCTCCCTCACATCCGCACCACAACTGGCACCGCCTTCCATCACCTCCGGAACATCGCCAGACTACGGCACTACCTCACCCCTCACGCTGCTGAAACCCTGGTTCACGCCTTTGTCACCTCAAGGCTGGACTATGGGAACTCTCTCCTCGCCGGCCTTCCCGCCACCTCCCTCCACAAGCTGCAGGTCATTCAGAACTCTGCAGCTCGTGTACTGTCCCGCACCAGGCTTCGGACCACATCACTCCCACCCTCGCTCGCCTCCACTGGCTCCCCATCCCCCAGAGGATTGATTTCAAGATCCTCATCCTCACCTACAAGGCCATTCACGGCCTTGCTCCCTCCTACCTCTCCGACCTACTATCCCCCTACCTACCTGCCCGTACCCTCCGTTCCTCTGGCTCCGGTCTGCTCCACGTCCCCCGCCCCAACCGCCCTACCATCGGTGGTCGGGCCTTCAGCCTCTCAGCCCCCAGGCTCTGGAACTCCATCCCCCAGTGCCTTCGCCTTGCTTCCTCCCTTTCCTCCTTCAAGGCCGGTCTCAAAACCTTTCTCTTTGACCGAGCCTTCAGCTCCCCTCTCGACTCTCTTCCCCCTCCTCGCTCCCTCCCTTCCCTCCCCTCACCCTGACCATTTCCCCCCTCCTCGCTCCCTCCCTTCCCTCCCCTCACCCTGACCATTTCCCCCCTGCTCGGGTCATGACCCAACTGTGCAGCGCCTTGGGACGTCCTCCTGACGTGAAAGGCGCTTTATAAATGGAATCTTGTTGTTGTTGTTGTTGTTGGACTCTCTCCCTGGAGGGACATCCGCTGCTTCAATAACTCCAGAGAGTATTAGACACAGGTCAGCAAAAGCCTAGTCATTGGTACCCCAGGGTGTGCATTGGGGTAACTGATGGAGTCTAACCAGCTACAATGGCATTAAAATCACTGTTACACAGCCTTTCCAGCTGCTCGTGTGCATTTGATGAAGTACTTTATCATGTCATCAAGACTTCACAAAGCACGTCACAAACTTTACTGTGAAATGTAGTGACTGTGCATTTATAGGCCAACATGGCTGATGATTTGCTTGCAGCAACATCCCACAAACAGATGTGAAGCGAATGACCAATTTTTTCTGGAGGATTGTTGGCCATGACACCAGGAGAAACTCTCTTCTCTTTTTAAATCGTGCCGTGGGATCTTTAACATATACCTGAACAGAGAGATGGGACCTCAGTTTAACATCGTTTCCAAAGGACGGCATCTCTGACAATGCATTCTACACTGTGAATTCAAAGGCCCGACATAGGGGCTTGAGCGAAAAAAAATGTCCGGACTGTAATGAGAGTATAATTCTGGGTATTCACCCACAAATATACAGTCAATTCACTTTACAGTATATTCCGTGAAGCGCTTTGAGATGTCCAGAAGACATGAAATGCGCTATTTCAACTGCAAAGATTATTATTATGGATTATTATTGTAATTCCGACAGTTCATGTGATGTTTGCTTTCCTATTATGCTGCAGTTCCACTTGTCATCAGGAGATGGAGGCACTGCTCATTGTAGTTTATAATAATAATAATCGTTGCATTTGATACAGCACTTTTCACGTCGGGAGGACGTCCCAAAGCGCTTCACAGAACACACTGTAAAGTGAATTGACTGTATATTTGTGGGCGAACGCGGCAGCCAATTGCGCACAGCAATGTCCCACTAACAGTCGTAGATTGAAAATGATCAATTTATTATTGTTTTGGGTTTTGGAGGGATTATTATTAGGCTCTGTGTGGAGTAAGGAAACTTGCCCAAGGTTTCGCCCTAACCTGCCTGGAATTGAACTAATTTCAATTAAATGATTAAAAATTGTTATCTAATGATCATTGCATTTGATATAGCGCCTTATTATGTCTTTGAGACGTCTCAAAAAGTTTCTCAGAATATACTGTCAAGTGAATTTACTGTATATTTTGTGGGCAAAACGGGGTAACCAATTGCGCACAGCAGCGTCCCACAAACAGTCGTGGACTGAGTGACCAATGTAATTTTGAAGGGATTAGTACCCCGGAAAAGTGATCCATCCGTCCATCGACCAACAACCATGTTCCTATTTACTGCTACATAAACAGAGGCATGTGGCGTAAAGGAAACTTGCCCAACATTTCACCCTGCTGGGCATCGAACCCAGGACTCTCACTTGGGAGTCGAGTGCTCCAACAGCTGAACTGTAGGACTCCACCTGTTATAGCACCTGTTTTAAGCTGTTGAGACCTCTCAAAGCACTCTGCAGGATATTCTATTAACTGGTGTAACTGTGTGCAATTTGTGGGCGAACCAATTTTTGCAAAGTCCTACAAACTGCCTGCATTAGATTAATTTTATATCAATTGATAATAATTGTTGCATTCAATTGAATGGAACGAGCACTCTCTCTGGGAGAACTCACTCTGCTTTACTTCTGGAGAGGATTAGACACAGGCTGCCAAGAGCCAAGGCTTGGGGACCCCAGAGTGTGTTTGGGAAACTGCTGACATTGAATGAGCTTGCCATCAGCTTGATAGCACTGTCTGGGAAGCTCTGGCAAGCTCTCCGCTGCCTGTCCAGCTCGGACCACCCTACCCATTAGGACTTCAGTTTGCAGGGTTAACAGGAGCTGAGAGGGAGGATTCCCTGCCCCCAGTGACTGGTCTCTCCTTCCAAGTCCTGCTGATGAGCCGGGCCGGGCTGTACCGTCATCAGCAGTGCCCTGGAATACTGTGGACCCACCTGGCTCAGGAAGAGACTGACTCAGAGGTTTTACCTGCTTACCCCAACCCCCTCCTCCCGCCCCCCAGAAGAAAGTTCATGTGACATGCGAGGGCGGAGGGGAGGGGAAGGGGGGTGACCGATGGCATGGTCAAAGAGGAAGGTCTTGAGGCGGGACTTGAAGGAGGCTAAGGAGGGGGTGAGGCATAAGAAGTAATAAAAACTCTTGTATTTCCATCTATTATCTGCGGTGCGATCAGACAGCAGAGCCTGATATCGTGCTGTGACTCCTTACATTGGTGCCAAATCTCTGAGCCATCGACCCCCTGTCTAATCTGCAAATAATAATAATAGTCCTCGCATTTGATATAGCACCTTATCACGTTGTTGGATGGACATTATTACCATATCTGTGTGATCATGAAGTGTAAAACAGGTGTGGGAATAAAATGGAAACACAAATTAAATGTAATGCAAAAGCAAACACCTTTTATTCAATAAATTGTCATTAACAAGCTTTAGAAATAAGCATTAAATATTTAAATGCCTTCCTTTTTCCTATCCCACTTTTTCATTTATACTTTCTGGTCTCTCTCCCTTTTACGTTTACTTTCTCTGTCTCTCTTTTTCTTTCCTTCTCTTCTGTTTGTCAGGGGTGGTTGTGCGAGTGCTATAAATGGAATCAAGTGCGGAGGAAGTGTGTTAGTGATTATGGGAAGAAGGGAATTTAGATTAAGATATACGCTTCATTAGAGGAGCAAGCAGCGATAGTAATATAATGTGTAACTCAATGTCTTCTCTTTCTCTCCTTCCTTCTCTTTCTTTCTCACTGTCTCTTACTTTCTATTTTTATTCCATTCTGTTTTTCATCCTTTCTTATTTTTGATATTCTTTCAATCTTTCTCTCTCTCTCTTTCTCTCTCTCTCTCTCTTTCGCTCGCTCTTCCTTTTCCTTCAGTTTAATCTATATGTGACTGAATCACATGCAAAGTGTTAATTAACTATCAACAACAGAAACACCGGTAAAGCTATACTTGACAAATTAACCCAGAATATTGCAAGCGCACAAAGGGTCAACAAGCACATCGCACTACAGCTGCTCTGAGCTATAGATGAGAGTAACTTTACTCCCATCATTGCAGTGCAGATTTGCCATCTCTCGTTTCATCTCCGATCCTATCCACACCTCCATCTCTACAGGAAGATCGTAGGTAACTTGCTCCTGAACCACACCAATCTTCAGCCTTGTCTTGGCAGGGACCTTGGCAGGGAGAGTGAACTCACGTTTGATGGTTGTAGTCTTAGATTCTGTTTTGCCCTTTTCCACTTGGAATCCTAACTGAAGCTCCGTTTTCAGCTCAAGGCTCATGCCAGCTTGGATACCAAACATATCCACTGAAGCTGACATGTTGAAGGTGCTGCCAAGGGTGATTTGACTGGATTGACTGAAGGTTAAAGACTGGGAAATGTTCACTTCCTTAGTAATGGACTGGGCGGCTGTGAAAGCTTGCTCGTAGGGGGTTTGATTTTCACTGATAATTTCATCAATTGTTTGCTGCTTTGATTCTGTCTTCGCTTCATCCCAAAGGACAGTCACCTTTTTAATCGTAGGCTTCCCGGACTTCAGAGGGCGGATGTGGGATACACGATCATGGAAATACATGAAACCATAATCAGGGACACTTTCACCATTTCTTGCCACAAACCTGTACCCCTCGCAGTTGGGGTGTTGATAGAGAACCCAAGCCCCACCCTGGACAACGTGGGAGGAAGCTTTGTCATTCATGTCGCCAAAAACAAGGTTGGTTTCTTGGGTGAAGGTTCTGGATATGCCTTGATAATTGGGATGTTCATACAGAGTTATGCGAGGATTGCTCAGGTCATCTTGGATCAGTTTCATTGATGAGATCGTATCACCGAACCCTTCGGTAAATTTATAGCGACCTTCTTCATACACTCGGATATTTCCACAATAGAACTGATGTTCATACAAGATCCAGGGTTGGCCAAACACCTCCAAGCTTGAGATGATATTGTCAAAGCTCAGTGCGACCAGATCAGGGACATCTTCAGTGAACTCTCGGGAAAGCCCTTTAAAATCGGGATGTTCATAGACAACAAGTTTGTTCATCTTGTTAGCGCTTCTTGACTTGCGAGTCTGTGAGTGAAGAGGGTGTCTGAGCTTCAGGTCTGCAGAGAGAATGTAAAGGTACCTCAATTTATATTCTTTGCACCCGAGTGAGTTAAGTGTGCTGATAGACTGATTCTAGATTGAACTGTAACTAGAGACTGCGATACAGACCAAATATGGAACAATCGTCAATTCACACCTTCTAATGTAATAATTTTTGCTGATGTGAATCATCAGTGGACGTTTGGACAAGTTAATCAAGCTCACAGCGACACTGAGATAATTGTTTGATGTGCTCATATTAATGATACAGAAGGATATCATTACCAATCTAGAGAGCAGAATACAAATTCTGAAAAGATTGACTGGGCTCAAAATTGATACGTCACCAGGACCAGATGGGTTTCACCCAAGGTTACTGTGGGAGATACGGGTTCAAATAGCGGAGGCTTTGGCCATTATATTTCAATCTTCATTGGATACAGGAGTCGTGCCAAGAGACTGGAGAGTGGCTAATGTTACCCCACTCTACAAAAAGGGGCAGAAAGACAAGCCCGGAAATTACAGGCCAGTCAGTCTGACTTCGGTAATAGGAAAGCAACTGGAGACCACAATCCGGGACAGAATAAATCTCTACTTAGAGGAACACGAGGTAATTAGAGACCCCCAACATGGATTTGTTAAAGGTAAATCTTGAAAATCTAATAGAATTTTTTGAATAGGTGACTGCGAGGGTTGATGAGGGAAACGGGGTGGACGTTATTTACATGGATTTCAAAAAGGCTTTTGACACAGTACCGCATAAGAGATTAATACAAAAATTAGAGGCCCACAGTATTAAGGGGACAGTGGCCGTTTGGATTAAGAACTGACTGAGTGACAGAATGCAGAGGGTGGTGGTTAATGGGTGTTTCTCGCAATGGAAGGAGGTGTGCAGCGGTGTCCCCCAGGGATCGGTATTGGGACCACTGCTCTTTCTAATATATATTAATGATCTGGACTTGGGCATAGAGAGCACTATTTCCAAGTTTGCAGGTGATACCAAGTTAGGTCGGGTAGGAAATAGTGAGGAGGACTGTAACCAACTGCAGGCAGACACACACAGAATGGTGGAATGGGCTGACATGTGGCAGATGGATTTCAATGTGGATAAGTGTGAGGTGATTCACTTAGGGAGTAAAAATGATAGGAGGCAATATAGACTTGGGAGCGCAATCTTAAGGGGGGTGAACGTACAGAGAGATCTGGGTGTTCAAGTAAGCGAATCATTAAAGGTAGTGGAGCAGGTAGATAGGGCAGTAAAAAGGGCATTTGGTGTACTGAGCTTTATTAGTAGGGCATAGAGTATAAGAGTAGGGGTTATGGTTAATCTGTACAAAACACTGGTTAGGCCTCATCTGGAGTACTGCGTCCAGTTCTGGGCACCTTACGTCAGGAAGGATATTAAGGCACTGGAAAGGGTGCAGAGGAGATTCACGAGAATGATACCAGGAATGGGGAACCTTAGCTATGAGGACAGGCTGGAGAAGTTAGGACTTCTTCCATTAGAGCAGAGAAGGTTACGTGGGGACCTGATAGAGAAAGGTTTTGACAGGCGAGATAAGGAAAAGCTGTTTCCGCTGGTCGGTGTGTCTGTGACCCATGGTCACAGTCTGAAGATATCTACCAAAAGAAGCAGAAGGGAGGTTAAAAGAAATGTTTTCACTCAGTGAGTTGTTGGAATTTGGAATGATCCGCTCGAAAGGGCAGTGAAGTCCGATTCAATAACAGCTTTTAAGAGGCAACTGGACAGGTATCGGGGGAAGACAGGTTTGTGGGGTTATGGGGAGAAAGCTGGTGATTGGGGTTAGTGAAAGTGATGCTCTGTCAAAGAGCCGCACACACTCGATGGGCCGAATGGCCTCCTTCTGTGCCGTAACATTCTATGAATCTATGAAAAACAAAGTAAATAGCAGGGTCTTTTTGTCAAGTACATTCTTGTCTTCTGCCTTTCCCAAGTCTGTTCTGACTTCAGGCGAGTTAGTGGCCAATATACATACACATGAACAAACAAGTTTGCACAATCTTTCCTTCAACTCGGGAGAGCAATCAGGACAGGGCGGAGGCGGAGGCTGAGGTAAACTGTTGGAATTGTCAGAGCGATTAAAAAAGAAAAAGTGACGTTGGTGTGAAGTCATTTTTCAACAGCAGAACCAGGGACAAACATCGACAAACTGTCAGAAACTACAACTCTGACAGCAAAATAAAACAAAAACACAAAAAATTAAAAAATATAGAAAACACTGTGTGAGAAGATGATGTGGCAGTGAAATGCGAGGACTGTGACATGTGGGAGTTAATGGAGGGCCCTGAGCCCCGGCAACTTCATCTGCTGCGAGTGTCTGCAACTCAGGAAGCTCCACCTGAGAGTAGCTGAGCTGGAAGCCGAGGTGCACTCCATCGGGGACAGTGAGACGTTCCTGGACAGTATGTTGGAGGAAAGCATCACTCCCCTGAGGCTCGGGAGATGCTTACATCTGGTTAATGCTCAGGGACAGGATGGTTTCATCAGTCCTGCAGATAAGGGGACCGCTGAGAGAGGGGTGATGGAGCCTTGGGCAGCAAACTTGTACAACGGATGTGAGTATTTGATGGACCAGACACCTCAAGAGGTGGTCACCCCACCCCACACACTGAGGGTTCAGATGGAAAATGACTGGGTGACTGTCCGGCATGGTAGGAAGAGGGGACGGGCTGGGCAGAATGCCTCGAATAGTGTAGCTCTTTCAAACCGGTACTCTGTACTGAACATTGAGATTGCGGATATCTCCAGGGAGGACAGTAAAAGCCGATTGGTGGAACAGGAGGACATGGGTAACAGGAGCAATGCTATTGTCATAAGGGATACAACAGTGAGAGGTACAGACCGACGTTTCTGTAACAGAAGACGGTAGTCAAGGATGGTATGTTGCCTCCCTGGTGCAACAGTCTTAGACATCGCAGAAAGGGTGGACAAAATTCTTCAGGGGGAAGGAGAACATCCAGAAGTGGTGGTCCACGTTGGGATTCTTGGCATTGGTAAAAAAAAAGGGCTGAGACTCTACAGGGTCAATATCAAAAGCTGGGGAAGATACTAAAGAATCGAATGTCCAAGGTGGTCCAAGATCTCTGGATTACTCCCTGTGCCTCGGGCAAATAAGTAGCAGAATGGCAGGATCAAGCATATGAATGCTTGGCTGGAGAAATGGTCCAGAAAAGAGAGCTTCAGGTTTCTGCGTCATTGGGACCATTTCTGGAGCAGGTGGAACCTGTACCATATGGATAGGTTGACCTAAACAGGGCTGGGCTGAGTGTACTTGCAGACAGGCTATCTAATGCTGTTGGGGAGGGTTTAAACTAGTTTTGAGGGGGGAATGTAATGCAAAAAACGAAGGGCTAGAAGTTGAAGAAAAAAAAAGGGGGCGGAAGTCCAGAACAGAAGTTGGTCTTGGAGTGCATGTGCCTAAATACACGGAGTTTAGCAAACAAGATCAGTGAGCTGCAGCTCAAGCGGTCATAGGGGAATACGATGTAGTCGCAATAACAGAGACTTGGCTCAAGCAAGGACAGGAATGGGAGCTGAATATTCCTGGCTATAATGTATTCAGGAGAGATAGGGAAGGAAAAAAAGGAGGGAGTGTGGCAATGTTAATCAAAAATATGGTTATAGCTGTGGAAAGGGTCGAGGTGATGGAGGGCCCCAAAACGGAATCTATCTGCTTAGGGTTAAGGAACAAAAAATTAGCTGTGACACTGGTAGGGGTATACCATAGACCACTAAACAGTGGGAAGGAAATAGATGAGCAGATCTGGAAGCAGATCTCAGACAGATGAAGGCCAATAGAGTCGTGATAATGAGGGACTTTAATTATCCCAACACAGACTGGCAAAACAACAGCGCAAAGGGCAAGGAGGGGGAAAGATTCCTAAAATGCATACAGGACAACTTTCTTGATCAGTACGTTTCCAGCCCAATGAGGAAGGAAGCAGTGCTGGATCTAGTTCTGGGGAATGAAGTAGGGCAAGTGGAGCAGGTTTCAGTGGGAGAGCATCTGGGCAATAGCGATCACAACATCATTAGATTCAGAGTGCATATGGAAACAGACAAGGAACCATCTAAGGGGAAGATGTTCAACTGGAAGAGGGCAAATTTCAGTGAGTTAAAAAGGGACCTGGCCAAGGTGGACTGGAAAGAAAGATTGGCAGGTAAAACAACTAAAGAGCAGTGGGAAGTCTTCAAGGATGAGATAGCTCGGGTTCAGAATAAATGCATTCCCACTAAAGGGAAAAGTAGGGCTTCGAAACCTCCCTGGATGACGAAGGTAATTGTATCTAGAATGAAGCAGAAAAAGGAGGTGTATGACAAATGTCAAACCCAAGATACAGAAGACAACCAAATCGAATATAGGAAGTGCAGAAGAGGTTTGAAAAAGGAAATAAAAGGGGCAAAAGGGTTATACGAAAAAAGGTTAGCGGGTAACATAAAAGGGAATCCTAAAATATTTTACAAATATGTCAAGGAAAAAAGGTTAGTCAAAGGTAGGGTGGGTCCAATTAAGGACCAATGGGGAAATCTTATTGTGGAGGCAGAGGGCAATGGCTGATGTGCTGAATGAGTGCTTTGCATCTGTCTTCACAAAAGAAGTGGAAGCACCAAATGCCACAGTATCGGAGGAGAGGGTAGAGGAAATGGACAGGATAAGTATAAACAGAGAGGAAGTACTGACAAGGTTGATAAGTGGCCCGGTCCGGAGGGGATGCAGCCGAGGTTACTATGGGAGGTACGGGTACAAATAGCGGAGGCTTTGGCTACAATTTTTCAACCTTCATTGGGCACAGGAGTGGTGCCCGAGGACTGGAGAGTGGCCAATGTTACTCCTCTGTACAGAAAGGGGCAGAAGCACAAACCTGGGAACTCCAGGCCAGTACAGCCTAACATCAGTAGTAGGGAAACTCCTGGAGACTATAATCCGGGACAGAATAAATCTTCATTCAGAAGAATATGGGTTAATTAGGGACAGCCAACATGGATTGGTAAAGGCAAATCTTGTCTAACAAATCTAATAGACTGTGGGAGCAGAGAGGCTGAAAGCCCGGCCACCGATGGTAGGACGGGTAGGGTGGGAGACAAGGACCAGGCCGAAGCCCAATGAATGGCGGGAGTGGGCAGGTTGGCAGTGAGTCAGCAGGTCAGAGAGGTAGGAGGGGGCAAAGCCATGGATGGCCTTGAAAGTGAGGACGAGGATCTTGAATTCGATCCTCTGGGGGATGGGGAGCCAGTGGAGTCGGGTGAGGGTGGGAGTGATGGGGTCACGGAGCCTGGTGCGTGAGAGTACACGAGCTGAAGAATTTTGGATGATCTGCAGCTTGCGAAGGGAAGGGTTGGGAAGGCTGATGAGGAGGGAATTTCCATAGTCGAGCCTTGATGTGAGGAATGCGTGGGTGAGGGTTTTGGCAGCCTGAGGAGTCTGGCAATGTTGTGGAAGAGGCAGTAGGCAGTGCAGGTCATGGCGCGGATGTGAGAGAGAAAGTGACAGTTCAGGGTCAAACAAGACACCCAGGTTCCTGACTGGCTCAGTGAGGTTGAGTGTGCAGCCGTGGAGGCTGATGCTGCCAACACGTGAGGTACGGAGGCGCTTGCCGAGCCAATCAGGAGAGCCTTGGTCTTGCTGACTTTCAGCTGGAGAAAGTTATCCCTCGTCTAGTACTTGATGTCGGACAGGCAGTCGGTCAGAATGCCAATAGTCGAAGTCAAGGGAGTGGCCACGGTTGTAGGTCAGTGAGTTGATGTGGAGGGTGCGGTTTAGGGAGGGGAGTAGGGCAGTGAAATCCGAGGAGGTGGCGCAGGGGGAGTTTAGATGGAGGTTGATGAGCAGGTGTTCAGTGCAGAGGGACAGAGATGAGAGGAGAGAGGAGATATTGGTGAGAAAGGAGCAAGTAAGTTTGGGGATGGGGTAGGGGGGGGAATATCGGGGGTGGTAAATTAGGAGGATTTTGAGGGAGAGAGAGGAGGGATGGTAATAGATGAGGTTCTCAAAAGAGGAGAAACAGCCAGCGGAATAGGGGGATAGGCCAATGGTGGCTTGGGAGATGAGGACCACCCCGTCACCAAGTTGGTTGGGGTGGGGATTGTGGTAAAAGGTGTAGCCAGGAGCAGAGGCTTCAATGAGGGGAACGGGGTCACCAGGGGAGAGCCAGGTTTCTGTAAGCCCAAGAATATCAATGTGCTCATCCAGGATGAGGTCATGGATAGTAATGGCTTTGTTGGAGAGGGAGTGGACACTTTGGAGGGAAATACAGATAGGTTTGCTGGTGGGGGGCACCACCTCTCAAAGCCAATCAGGAACCTCGGTGTTCTGTTCGACCCTGAGTTGTCCTTTATTCCTCATATTCGCGCCACAACTGGCACCGCCTTTCATCACCTCCAAAACATCGCCAGACTACGGCACTACCTCACCCCTCACGCTGCTGAAACTCTGATCCACGCCTTTATCACCTTAAGGCTGGACTATGGGAACTCTCTCCCCATCGGCTTCAGGTCACCTCCCTCCACACTGCAGGTCATTCAGAACTCTGCAGCTCGTGTACTGTCCCGCACCAGGCTTCGGAACCACATCACTCCCACCCTCGCTCGCCTCCACTGGCTCCCCATCCCCCAGAGGATCGATTTCAAGATCCTCATCCTCACCTACAAGGCCATTCACGGCCTCGCTCCATCCTTCCTCTCCGACCTACTATCCCCCTACTTACCTGCCCGTACCTTCTGTTCCTGTGGCTCCAGTCTGCTCCACATCCCCCGCCCCAACCGCCCTACCATCGGTGGCTGGGCCTTCAGCCTCTCAGCCCCGAGGCTCTGAAACTCCATCCCCCAGTTCCTTCGCCGCTTCCTCCCTTTCTCCTTCAAGGCCAGTCTCAAGACCTTTCTCTTCAAACGTACCTTCAGCTCCTCTCTCGACTCTACCCCCTCCTCGCTCCCCCCATCCCGCCGTCCTCCCAACGTGAAAGGTGCTCTTTCAATGCAATCTTGTTTTTGTTGTTGATGATGGGCAGAGTGGTATAGAGAAGATTTGGGGTTGTGGGAGAGAAGTGACCATGGAGTTTGAGGAGCAGAGAGAGTTGGAGAGGATATGGATATGGATGACGAAGGAAGAAGGGGTGTTTGTCTTATCAAGCTACCGGCCCATCTCCAACCTCCCCTTCCTGTCCAAGGTCCTGGAACGAGTTGTGACCTCCCAGCTGCGCTCTTTCCTCTCCACCCATTCATTATTGGAACCCCTTCAGTCGGGTTTCCGTGCTTCCCATAGCACAGAAACCGCCCTGGTCAAGGTCACCAATGACATCCTGACCATGTGTGACCATCCGCTGCCTCCTCGTCCTCCTCGACCGATCAGCAGCATTCGATACGGATGACCATGCTATCCTCCTCCACCGCTTGTCCTCCCACCTCAACCTTCAAGGCCCTGTCCTTGAGTGGTTTAGGTCGTACCTCTCCCACTGTCTTCACTTTGTTTCCATGAACGGCTTTTCCTCCACCCCCCGCACTGTCTAGTGCGGTGTCCCTCAGGGCTCTGTCCTCGGTCCCCTCCTCTTAACCCTCTATATGCTCCACCTTGGTGATATCATCCGCAGACATGGGGTTAACTTCCACATGTATGTGGATGACACCCAACTCTACCTTTCCTCCTCTACCCTCAACTCCATGACCCCCGATGTCCTGACAGCTTCCTGTCCGACATCGAGTCCTGGACGAGAGACAACTTTCTTCAGCTCAACGTGCGCAAAACTGAGGCCCTCCTGATTGGCTCAGTCAGCGCCTCCGCACCTCAGGCGATGACAGCATCAGCATCAAAGGCCGCACTCTCCACCTCTCAAAGCCATCAGGAACCTCGGTGTTCTGTTCGACCCTGAGCTGTCCTTTCTCCCTCATATCCGCGCCACAACTGGCACCGCCTTCCATCACCTCCGGAACATCGCCAAACTACGGCACTACCTCACCCCTCATGTGGCTGAAACTCTGGTCCACGCCTTTATCACCTCAAGGCTGGACTATAGGAACTCTCTCCTCGTCGGCCTTCCCGGCCCTCCCTCCACACTGCAGGTCATTCAGAACTCTGCATCTCGTGTACTGTCCCGCACCAGATACCGCGACCACATCACTCCCACCCTCACCATCACCCACGCCCTCACCCTCACCCTCGCCCTCGCTCGCCTCCACTGACTCCCCATCCCCCAGAGGATCGAATTCAAGATCCTCACCTACAAGGCCATTCACGGCCTTGCTCCCTCCTACCTCTCCGACCTACTATCCCCCTACCTACCTGTCCGTACCCTCCGTTCCTCTGGCTCCGGTCTGCTCCGCATCCCCCGCCCCAACCGCCCAACCATTGGTGGCCGGGCCTTCAGTCTTTCAGCCCTGAGGCTCTGGAACTCTAACCTCCAATGCCTTCGCCTTGCCTCCTCCCTTTCCTCCTTCAAGGCAGGTCTCAAGACCTTTCTCTTTGACCGTGCCTTCAGCTCCCTTCTCGACTCTCTACCCCCTCCTGGCTCCCTCCCTTCCATCCCCTCACCCTGACCATTTCCCCCCTCCTCACTCACTCCCTTCCCTCCCCTCACCCTGACCATTTCCCCCCTTGCTCGGGTCCTGACCCTACTGTACAGCGCCTTGGGACGTCCTCCCGACGTGAAAGTCGCTCTATAAATGGAATCTTGTTGTTGTTGTTGTTTTTGAGGAGGTTGCTGCTGAGAGAGTGAGTGATAAGACAGTTGGGGTGGCTGCTCTGGGACAACCAACACTGAGAGCCACGATGGGCGTTGCAGAGAAAAGCAGAAGGAAGGTGAAGCTTCCTCTACCTTGTCCATCCAGTACTCACAGGTACAGATCAGCCATGATCTAACAGAATGGCAGAATAGGCTCAAGGAGCTAAATGGCCTACTCCTATTCCTATGTTAGCAACAGCACTGGCTATAAACTGAGCAAAGCTCATACTACACTGCCCGTCCCGCACTGTGAGATCAGTGACTGAGATCTGCATTATTCTAGCACATGGATGAATTAATTTACGGGATGAATTAGATGGACCTTGGTCTTTTTTCATCAGCAATTACTATGTTCCTATGAAAGGAAGAAGTCCAGGACAGAGTAATGCACCAGTGGTGGCCAACGTTTATGGTCGGACAACAAAATATATTTTCTTAATTAAACATTTCTTGTGCCATAAATCAAGAAATATTCAATTGAGATTAAACTAAAAACACACTACAGATAAACACGGACTTACCTAGACTTGTGCGAATATCTGAGGGCCGCTTTTTGACAGGTTGGCCAACACTGCTCTAACCTGACATGCAATCCCGGGTCAGGGTTAGATACAGAGTAAAGTTCCGCTACACTGTCCATTCCCCATTCCCAGGTCAGCGTTAGAGACAGAGAAACGCACCCACTACACTGTGCGACCGGCATGCCGAGCTCTGGAGATGTACTTACGTGTGTGCTCTGAGCAGTTTGTTGTCACAGACAGTTGTTTGTGTGGAGCTGATAGAAGATCGGCAGCTGTGGAGTGTGAGGTGAGGAAGTTCTGGTTTGTGTGATGGGGTAAAGCCCAGTTTATATGGAGCTGCTCAGGGGGAGGCGACTGCAAGTCTTCCAGTGGATTGGCGGGATATTGACGTCTGAGCAGATTGTTTGATTTCCAAAGAATTGCCGGACCCTCAAGGAAGTGTAATTCTCAAGAAAATAATTCTCATTGGAAACAGCTGGCATAAGGCCAACAATTCTTATCTCTTTCATGCTCTGGAGGTGGGGTGTGTGAGTAATGTGATAGAGTGAAATCCTGCAGGTTAGTGATTAGAGCGCTCGCCCCTCAAGTCAGAGACCTGGCTTTGATTCGTGGCAGGGCGAAATGTTGAGCAAATTTCCTTGCTCCATACACATCTGGTTGAGGAAGAATGTCTTCTAGACAGGACTTCAAAGAGACAAGTGAGGGGGTGAGGTGGAGGGATTGCGGGATAAAGATTTGAGAGTTTGGGAGCAGCGATGCCTGTTCATCAATGGTGGGGCAGGAAGTTTGGGGAACCTGAAGCAGGTTGGTGTCCGCCAAGTGGAGGGAGTGGACAGGCTGGTACGGGGTTAGGAGGTCAGCGAGGTAGGGGGGAGCAAGTCCATGGTGGGCTTTTAGCATGAGAACAAGAGTTTTGTACTTGATACTCAGAGGAATGGGGAGCCAGTGAAGCCGGGCAGCAAGATCAAGGGTGCCCCCAGGTGCAGGAGAGGACACGAGCTGCAGAGTTTTGAATACCATGCAGCTTGTGGAAGGAAGAGTTGGGAAGTCCAGTGGGCTGGCAGTTGGGCTAATCAAGCTGGGAAGCAATGAAAGCATGGATCAGGGTCTCGGTGGCCAGTGGTGAGAGGCAGTGGCGGAGGTGGGCAATGACAGGGAAAGGTGCAATGGGTCACAGAGCTATCCAATTCGAACCGCTCCCCCATTCTTTCCCCGTAACCATGCAAATTTTTACTTTTCGAATGTACATCCTGTAGCTCAGTGGAGTCCTGTAGCTCAGTGGTTAAAGAACTTGCTTCGCAAGCAGGCGACGTGGGTTCGATTCCCGGCAGGGTGAAACATTGAGCAAGTTTGCTTGCTCCATACACCTATGTTTAACAAGCAGTAAGTAGGAATCCAGTTGTTAGTTAATTGGCGGAATACTTTTTTTGGGGGTAATAATTCCTACAAATAAATAATAAAATGGTCACCTCAATCCACGATTGTGGGACACTGCTGTGCGCAATTGGCTGCTAAGTGCTATGCACACAGAGATAGGTTCCCATTGAGTGAGGTAAGTAATCAATTATTATCAGATTTCTCTGAATTGGGGTTAATAATCCCTTTAAATTTTTTAGCTGGTTAGACTTCAGCAGGACCTCAATTCTGGGGACCCAAAGCCTTGGCTTATTCTGAAACTCTGCCTAAAACGGTCCAGAATGAGGTAAATAGGATGGAACCCTCCAGGCAGAGTGTGCACATTCCATTCCAATACATGGGAATGTCCATGTGTCGGTGGGACACATGGAACTCAGTTTGGTTTGGATACTCTTTAGCCCAGTGATGGGTTTCTGGCTGTGTCAGACACGGGGCTGACCAAAACAACGAAAGTGGGGGTGAGAGGCTTGACACCCAGGGGGAGAGGCAATGGTGGAGGCTGCTGTTGTTGCACAGGTGCAGGAAACCTGAGCGAGTGACTGTCTGGATTAAGGCAAATTAGAAAAATGAAGAGACATGAAGAGTTAAACAGCCTTCTCCAGGGAGAAAATATCTGCGTGAAATACGATATGAAAGGCGCAATGTAAATATAACTTTGTATTGTGAGGTGTTCTAGTCCGGCTCCACTGGCTCCCTGTCATCAAATGGATTGATTTGAAGATCCTCATACTTGTTTTCAAATCCATTCATCCCCTGGCAACTCTCGACCTCTCTGACCTGCTTAACCCACATCACTCTTCCTCCACTCGACTGGCTCCGACCTCCTGCAAGTCCCTTGTTACCTCCGTTCCACCATCGGTGGTCGTGATTTCAGCCACTACCCCCAAAACTAGTTGTTGCTGTTGTGTGTTTGGCTGTTGAGGAAGTTGAACTCAGGAATAAGAAACAAGGAAAGTGAATGCTATATCCCCAGAGAAAGAGTCTCATTATGTGAGGTGAGTAATAAAGTGTTATGATTTCTTTGAATTAGCTAAGTCTGGGATGTGACCAGAAGGTTAAGATAACTGAAGTCACATTTCATGTGGTTTTAAAGTCAGTCAAGTTCATTTTGTCAACCTATCATTGCTACCCACAATGAGCGCCCTCCCCCTCTGCACCACCTCTCGCCCCCAGCCTTCTGCAGGCTGATAATGTCCTACGAAACCCGCCGCCTCTCGTCCCAGCGTGCGCATCTTGACTGCTGCCCCCGACCCGAATTGGCCCTCCCTCAAAATGCCCCCCTCTCTGCAACTCTCCCGCTCTGTCCTGCACTCTCTCCGCCCTCCCCGCCTCCTATCTCTACTTCGCCAGGCTCATCGTGGCACTCGGCGCTGGCTGTCCAGCAGCAGCCACACCGACTGCCCCATTCCCCATCACCGCCGCAAGCCACCCCGGACCCAGACCGCGGGGGCTAACTTCCCCTCCCTCATCCGCATCGCCACCCTCCCTCCCAACCATTCCCCTACCCCCTCCCATCCCACACATCCTCCTGGCAACTGTCCACTCTGCATTGGCCTTCATAATGTCCGCTCCATCTCCAACAAGACCCTGGCCATCAATGAACTCATCCTCGATGAGAACATTGACATCATGGCCCTCACTGAAACCTGGATCACCCCAGGTGAAACCTTCCCCCTCACTGAGGCCACACCAACTGGCTACACCTACAACCATGTCCCATGACCCAATAGTCGTGGTGGCGGGGTGGCCCTCATATCCGGGGCGTCACTTGCCCTATGCCCCTACTCCACTGACTCATTCCCCTCTTTCGAACAGTTTACCCTCTGCCATCCCTCACAACTCCCTCTAAAAATCCTACTTTACTGCCCCCCAAAATCCTCCACCACCTTAATCGCTGACAACTCCACCCTCTGTCGTGGCTTCGCTGCATAAAACACAATCCAAAGACAGTTTCAACAATCCACAATTGTAAGCTTTATTGACTTGCTGCAGTAAGGGAAGAAATTCTTTCAGGTTGCAATACCCGACCAGGACAATTTCGAATTATGTGTGATTATACAGAGTATATATATTTTTTAGAATACATGATACATAAATCTTATCCAACCAAAATAGTTTGCTCACATGAATATTTGTTTTCCAATTTTCTTGATTAGTAGATTTTACTCTTGCATGGCTTTGTAATGTCTGTCAAGTTAACTGCTCAAGCATAGTGATACTCCTTACTAATAAATTTTAGTAAGGCAAGAAAGCCCTTGGAGGAGATCTTTTGGTCCTTTGCCAGTAGGTAGGAGGCTTACCAATTTTACTGATACAGACAGCACAAAAACAATACAATTAGAGGGTGAAGGGCTGTTTACACTGCAGCGCAAGATGTTTTTAACCCGTTATGTAATAGTTCATGTTACATTTCCACCCTCCTTGCTTCCCTCTGCCTCTGCTCCGACCACCTCATCATCCGAGGCGACTTCAACCTCCACTTCACCCCCTATTGCTCCCCCTCAGATTTCTCTCCTCTCTCAACCTTTCCTTCTACAAAGATTCTGCTACCCACACCCACGGTCACCCGCGTGACCTGGTGATCACCCAAGGCCTCAGCGTCTTGGATGTCATCACCACTGACAAGGCCATCTCTCACGACCATTTCATCTCCCTCAACTCCCATATCCCTCTCACCACTGCCTCCAAACCTACCACGGTCTTCTACCGCCAGTGGAAGAAGATCTCCCCGCAATCCCTCTCCGCTGCCCTGGAGTCCTCTGATCTCCTCCCCCTCTGGCCCACCTCTCGCACCAACCCACTCACTGTGCTCGCTCTTCTCCACAGCACCCTCTTCACCAAACTCGATGCTCTTGCTCACCTCCCGAACTGTCTCCTATTCCCGATTCTCACCCTGGTTCACCAGCCACCAGCCACCTCCGCTCACTTAAGGCCCAGGTGCGGCTGCCGAATGCACTTGGCTCAAATCTAGCCTTACAGTCCATCGGCACATCTGGCTAGACGTCATCAAAACCTCCTGGTCCGCTCTCATCTCAGCCAAATCGTCCTTCTATTCCAGGTTAATCCTGGAGGTGAAGGGCAACCCCAGGCTCCTGTTCTCCTTGATTGAAAGCTGGAAAACCTGAAAGAACCTGCTAGAACTTGGTTTTATGATTTGGTTATTTGTATACAAGTATATAGTCTTATGTAACCTTATATGTGTGATTAGCAGGCAATTGGCTGAGTGTATTAACCTACTGGGATTCTGAGAATTAAAAGAACCACTATAATCCATTTGAGCGTGTGTCTCTTATTTGGATTTTCTAACAAATAGGGATTCGGCAGGATACTCTGAATTAATGCACTCGGCAGTTGACGTGTTTAGGAGTCCGGTACGACCGTAACTAGTAAGTAGTTGGGACGGTGGCCGTGCCTGTGTGGGCTACAAAATGTGTAGCAGGCAATTAACCGAGTGTATTAACCCATTGGGATCTGAGTATTAAAGATCCAATATAATCCATTCGAGCGAGTGTCTCTTATTTGGATTTTCTAACAACTATCACCCCAACCTTGAAGAAACCTTCCCTCGCCCCAACGCAGCTATCCAGCTACCAGCCCATCCCAAACCTCCCTTTCCTATCCAAGGTCCTTCAGAGAGCAGTTGCCTCCTAGCTTCCCTCTTTCCTCTCCTCCCACTCCCTCCCTGAACCCCTCTAATCGGGTTTCTGTGCTGCTCACAGCATGGAAACTGCTCTGGTCAAGGTCACAAACGACATCCTGACCATGTGTGACCAGGGCTCCCTCTGCCTCCTCGTCCTCCTCGACCTCTCCGCCGCCTTTGACACTGCTGACCACTCAATGCTCCTCCGCTGCCTCTCCTCCAACCTCAACCAGCAAGGTTCTGTCATTGACTGGTTCAGGTCCTACCTTTCACACTACCCTCCACTTCGTCGCAGCAACCGGCTTCTCCTCCAGCCCCCATCT